AATATATAAAGAATGGCTTTTTCCCACACACAATCATCAATCCAGACAATATAAATACTCTGTATGCTTTGATATTCTATCGTTTTGTTTTCATTTTGCTATCATGTTAGTCTATTTTCAGAAAAGCAAGTCTGACTCGTTCTATGTATAGTAGCGTTCATGCACAGCATCTTAGCACGGGCTAAGTGGTCAAATACCTTAAGTTAGCCCGTGCTATGAAAACGTGCGTGAATGCTAAGCACGGGCTAAGAAACGCTAAGTACGGATTAAATCATCTGGCCTGCTTTTAAGACAAGCTTTATTTCCTTAGCACGGACTAACGAGTGGGCATGAACGCTTAGCTCGTGCTATGTGCCCAAAACGCTATTGTATTCAATGTTCATTTTGAAGATTTAGTATTATATTCATAACTATTTATTTCGGTATGCCATTTCCGACATGACAATCAATGCGAGCACATTAAGAGATATCTGATTGTTCCCGAGAAAAAATGAACTGACGATGAGACTCTGTGCTACTTCTTGTTATTCTGCAATTTTCATTTGTACCTTTCTACTAGTTACTGTACAGTAGTGAGTAATCATAGTTAAAATGACTGGAGAAGGTGTTTGTGTATTCGTAACAAGATTGGACGTTCATTTGGCACTCACCACTGTTACCTGCCGTGCGTGAACGCAATAGACCAATTTCCGTTCACTGCGAGAATCACGCGTTGTGCGTGAAATCGAACGTAAAAACAGGAAAAACAAAGGTCATAGCGTCGTAGTCGCGTCAAAGATCGCGTGGGATTCAACAAACGCGAAAATATTTTGGGGGCATTTTCATGCTTAATAATTTGCTGTACACATTTGATGATAGACAATTTCAATTAAGTGAGGGTATTCGAAAGCAATATTCCTCTGTCGAAGATCGGCCGGTCGATATGAGCTACGAAATAAAGAAATTCGAGTTCAAAATCAAATCGTTCGATTTTTGGGGCAGACGTTCGACGCGCGTCTTTCATGCATCTCGCGAGATCTCGCAGTTGAACGGAAAATCACCTATTGGGTTTAGCCGATATGCAAAAATATGAGATTAGCTTTAAATGTAAGTTTTGTTTTCAAAACGGAGAGCATGGAAAGGTGCGATGGAGATTACTAATGTAATTTGGGGATGAGAACATCATTTGTAAATATAAGTTGAGTTTTACAGAAAAGACACTGTGGATTAAAGTATGACAGAGATGTATATACTTAGACATGTCAGATTTTTTCGAAGATGGTAGTACATAGATGTGAAAATGTTCCAATTCCTTTTGCAGAATTGGGGCTCCCTGGGCTAGCCTAACCAAATAATAGTATGACCAACTCATCGTACATGATAGAGGGCGCTATGGAGTTGGTGTACATGGTCATGCCAGTTTACCATCACCCTGATCTTAAAACAGGGTGGTTGGGTATGGACTGACAACACAAGTTTTTGTCGTCGACTTGAATTAGTATATACCCCTCCAACAACTTATTTTATTTAGCTCCATGAGTCACGTGATGAACTGGTAAACAAGTATGGATCATTTTTTTAGTAGTATTTAGAGCATGTTTAAATAATTGTTTAGGTTATAATTGACATTTTAGGTTGATAGTAACATGAACATGATTTATCGTGAGTAAATCCCTCCCCCAATGGCAAATATATAGCAATATTCTTTCGATGAAACAACGCTAAATGCAAATGTGCATGATGCGCCTCGGTACTAAGTCAAAGAGCGATGCACCAGTGATGATTATACCGATACATATATTGTCACTATGCATTGTTAAGACATTATCAAAAACAATCGAAAATAAAGTTATCACCTAATCGATACTACTGTCCTGGGATAGATATTCAGTCTTCGATTTAATAAAACTCATAACCTGGTTTTTCAGTGAAAGGCTTTATTTCCCAATATATAATCAAAATGTTTTCTATATAAAACCACACTGAACTTAAAAATACAAGGGCATTTAATTTGAATCACTGTCATATATGTCACACCCATGCATGGTTACTCGTAACTCTGACCCTAGTCTGGT